CCGCAATTCTGACCTTAGTGGTATTTTGATAGTACTTCTCGCATACCGGATGCTTCCAAGGAGGCGCTGTTTCTTCGCCCTGACCTCCCCAACTTCCGAGCTTTCCCTGCGATTTATTGCCTGAAGGATAAATAAGAAGCGTGTAAGTTATACTTTTCTGAGCTGCACCGGCAGCGCCCGATGTACTCGCACCACTTTCAGACACCTCAGAAGGCTCACCGGAGTTTGACTGGTATTCCCATATACAGTCGCCAAAAACCCCTTTGGTAATATCCTGCCTCGTGTAGTGTGACGTTTGTTCGCCTTGTTTTCTGTTGTGGTGCTCAATAAGCTTATCCGGCGATTCAAAGATTGTCCACGCAGGGACGCCTTCAGGGCTGTCCTGTTTTTGCTCTGCCTGCTCTGTCCAGCAGCTACCGGCTCCACGTCCCGCGTCGTCAAAGGCTGCGCTCTTCTTGATAATAAACTTGTTTGAAAGGGCTATTTTTCTCAAAAGAGCAGTCCCTTTGAACATAGACTCCATTTCAGTCTCGCTTGTGGTAGAAACCTTGTCCAGTTTGAGTGTCGTAAGAGCTCTACAACCAGAAAGCATATGAGCAAGACTTTTTACATTGCCGTTGAAGACGAACATACTCAGATCAAGAGAAGTCAGCTTTTCACAGCCAAAAAACATGTTTTCCAGTGAGGTGACTTCTCTGACATTGAGCCCGGAAAGATTGACTTCCTTCAGCTCAGAAAACCCGCTAAACATATTTTTGCACGTAAGCGCTGTTACCGGTCGAGCGCCCTCTTGCAGCTTGCTATTTTTGTCTTCGGTGACTTCAACGCGAGTAGTCTGCGCATAGTAGCTACTATACAGAGAATCCTTCCACGGAGGTATCCCCGCGCCTCTTGTCCAGTCACTGAGCTGCCCCTGCGCATCCTGCTGTTCTGAATTATCAGCGGCTTGTTTAGGATATATGCGAAGCGTATAGGTTGTTTTATCACCCGCTGCGTTCCCTTGGTTGGATACATATTCCCACATGCAGCTGCCACAAGAACCCGTTGGTCTGTCCTGCCGTATGTAGTGCTCAAAACCTTGAGTGCTCTTTTCGTTGTCCTTATTGTTGTGAAAGTCTACAAATTCGTTAGCATCACTAAAGACCTTACCAGAAGGACTATCAACCGTACCTTCACCTACCTGGCGCCAGTGGGTCCCCACCTCTGATCCTGCATGAGCAAATCCTGCACCGCTTCCGATATGGAACTTATGGCTTAGATAAATGCTTTTTAAAGATTTTGTTGCAAAAAACATACCGTGCGTATGCTCTGGCTTATTTGTGCTCCATCCGCGTAGATCAAGTGAAGTAAGAGCAGAGCAACCATCAAACATGTTGCTAAAGTCGACCACGTTGTCGGTATTCCAGACCCGCTCGGTATTGTCAGACTGCCCGACATTATCAGACGGTATAGCACCAAGCGAATTGAGAGACTGACAGCCCCGGAACATATCGCGCATCGTCGTTACCGAACTGGTGCTTAGCCTAGGCAGATTCGTCGATTGCAGCTGCGCGCATCCGTAAAACATGCCCTCCATAGAGGTCGCG